CAACCACCAGCAGCCCCCAACAACTCCGACCAACACTCAGATCACACCCACGGACTCGTCCGTCGACGTCGAATCGTTCGACAAAATCCCAAGGCAAGATCCCGATACTCTTTTGACTTATCATTCAATTCTTAGACCGCTCTGAATTAATTAGTTGCTTGCAAGATCTCTATTCTTGCTCAGTACAATTTTAGATTGATCACAGATTAATTATGCATACGAACTCGTTACCCGAATAATTACTCGTTAAGAACTGTCGTGAACATATTGGACTGAGAACTATAACGTATAGAACTGTTGTGACGAAATGGACTGTGGACAATAACGTATGACCATTCACGTTATAATACATATACTGTGACGACCTGCACAGATTTATTTGACGAATGATACTAAAAATAATATTTTGATAATAGATACTATAAAGATAAAATAAAATAAAATTATTTTAGATTAATTTATAATTTTAAAGAATTTATTGACAAAATAATCAATTTAAAATAATTATTATTTTAGGGAAAAATCATTTTAGAGTAATTATAATAAATTAATAGAATTTATTTAACAAAAGAATTATTTTAGAATAATTATAAATAATTTAAAAGAATTTATTTTAGAATAAGTATCGATTTAGAATAATTTCAGTAATTTAAGAAAGTTTTATAAAAGGAATTATTTTAGGACATTTATAAATATTATTAAAAGATTTATTTTAGAAAAGGGATTATTATGAATTTTTCATGATTTATGTTTCTTAATTTTAATTATGTGATATGCTATGATATTGTTGTATATGATTAGCTGCATTTATTACTCTTTGTTATGCATGAGAACCGTTAGAAATTCATGACTAGTGTGGCCTGGTGTGTCCTATTTAAGACTTAGAAACCTGTGTATATGTTAGCTTAGAAAAACAAGAGAGTTGGGATGGGGAAGTTAATGTTCATGTGGTCGGATAAGACTGTTGATGTATCTTCCAGGCTCGCTCCCGTGGTTGGTGTCGCCACCGAGGTTGGTTTGTAGGGCTAAAGTGAAGTGTGTACATCACTTTGGTCAGTGGTAATTTATTTCGTCACCCGAGTTCTGTTTGAAGTTCGGACCAGGCAGAAACGGATTGCGTGCAGTCCTCTAGGTCGCATGTGTAGCGGGATTGGATGCACGTAGGGGATTTGTGAACAGTCAGTATCCGATGACAGGAGCGTTGACTCTGTGTGAGATGTGACCAGTGACCTGTTATAAGATGGCTAGTTACATGACCTCGTTTCTTGGCTAGGTATGATTTCTTGTGAGAGGTAGTCCAGTTGCGTTTCTTTTCATACATAGATCGAAATTAATATTTAATTATTTATAATTCGAGATATATGGTATATACATGAGAGTTTCCTTGTTTGGATTATTTCGCTCGACGTACTACGTCTCGAGTTGTAGATTTTTAAGTATTAATTTCATCTAGTGTATGACCTTGTGACTTGGATGATTATTCTGATCGCTAGTTGCATGATTTTGTTACCCGATTGATTTACGGATTCTTATGATTATCATGTTTTGGTAGTGGATTGCATGTGATTTTGTTGGATTACCAGTTGCACGTTCTTTTATCGTTTCGGTTATCATATCATTTTTCGCTTGGGTTTTCGTTCGTTCTTTTCTTTTGTGGGATCTTGTCGTGTGCCATACACCCTGACGTACACCTGTTTTCTCTGGTGAACGTTAGACTTAGAGGAAGAATAGGTTTAGCAAGAGCCAGAGGATT